CATGGGGTGAGGGTCCCCACTGGGGGGCTTGACCAGCCTGAAAATGGCCCTCAACCCCTCACCCAGGCTGGCCAGGAACCCCAGTGGGACTCCCACCCTGATCCAGGACACCCTTCAGGGCAAACCAGCTGGCCCCCAACCGTGCACCAGGCCTCTATCCTATATAATAAAATGGTAATATGCAAATTGATCCTAACAGCAGAACAAATGGGAATGACTGGTCACTATGACACACAATGACCACCAGGGGGCAGACGCTCAATGCAGGAGATGCCCCCTGGTGGTCAGTGTGCTCCCACAGGGGGAGCTCTGCTCAGCCACAAACCAGGCCGACAGCTGCCAGCACAGCAGTGGTGGCGGGAGCCTCTCCCGCCTCCTCAGCAGTGCTAAGGATATCCAACTGAAGCTTAGGCCTGCTCCCCACTGGCAAGTGGACATCCCCCGAGGGCTCCCGGGCTGCCATAGGGATGTCTGTCTGCCAGCTTAGGCTCAATCCCCTGGGGAGCAGGCCTAAGCCAGCAGGTGGACATCCCCCAAGGGGTCCTGGACTGCAAGAGGGCACAGGCTGGGCTGAGGGACCCCCCTGAGTGCATACATTTTTGTGCACCGGGCCTCTAGTACTTTATAAATATATTTAAAAAAAAAAAGAGCGAGAAGGCTTACTGATTCATTGTCTCTTCTATTCCCAGTCCCCAATGCCAGAGACATCAGACTACAAATTAAGGCTTTGTTGAAATTATAATTCATAGGAGAGGCCTGTTTTTCAGAAAAGATTATTACATTTGATTTTCAATTTTGAATACTGAACTTTCCAAACATATAGAACTGATGATATAAACATTCAAGAAACACTTTCCATTCTATCATTCTATGTATGCATGTATATTTGTATTTCATGTACATAGGCCAAACATAACAATTGGGCCTTCAAGTAATAGATATTGACTTCAAGGTCATTTGGGGAATGCAATCTTTTTATCACGAAACCCTTTACCTTAAGGATATAAAGGTTTTCTGGACAAGTACATATTCTATATTGTAATAAAACAATTCTAGTTATATATATTTTCTTCATCTAGCAACAGCTTGAATCATAGCAAATTTGGAAAATTCTTAAAATTTTCCTTACCGTAAGCACTGCATTAAAACTCTTAAGAGGAAACATGCTACTTCTCAGCAATACAACTCTATCAGGAGAAGCTCCAAGCAGGAACAATGGAGATTGTTGTACAAATATTAACATATCACATAACAAAAAGTTAGACAGTACACGTTATTACATGGCCTTATCTGCAGAACATACACATTGCTCCACATGCTCTGAGAATGGTAAGCCACCTTTGAGGAAAATTTTCATGTGTATTTTATGATCCTATATAATAAAAGCCTAATATGTTAACTGTCCGGTTGTCCAGTCGTCTGTTCAACCAATCAAAGCATAATATGCTAATGATATGCTAAGGTCACTCAACCACTCACTATGACGTGCACTGACCACCAGGGGGCAGACTCTCTGACTGGTAGATTAGCTTGCTACTGGGGTCCGGCCAATTGGGACTGAGCAAGACTGGCCGGACACACCCTAGAACCCTCTCCAGCTGGCCAACCTCCCTTGACCCTCCCCAGCCCTGATCGTTCACCAGTAGGGCCCCTTGGCCTGACCTGCACCCTCTCGCAATCTGGGTTGGAGAGCTTTTGGCCTGATCCCGCAGGCCAGGCTGAGAGAACCCACTGCTGCACGAATTCGTGCACCGGGCCTCTAGTTAAGTAATATTGTTGGTGAAGAAATGATGAAAAGATTTGATGGCTTTGTTTGGTAAGGTTAAGCAAAACATCCATGTGATTTAAAAAAAAATACCACAAGATACACTAAAATGCATCTTATTAGTAGGTGAATAAATCTGTGTTATGATAAATGGAGTTTAATTTAGTGGTTGGAGATAGCTATCCCTTTAATTAGCAAAATGAACACATATTCTAAGCCCTGAAAGAATATTTTCTGAGAAAAATGAGAGATCATTATATTTTAAAAAAAAATTCACTCACCGACTCTGTTCCCATCTTCTTTTGTAGCCGTGTTTGCCACTGGACGGCTTGCATGACAATGGCTTCCCACCTCCTCTCGAGATTCACTATGATCAGCTGCATGGGCTGGTGGTCCGCGCTCAGGTTGCAGGTCTCCCCACCATCCAGAAGGTGCTGGCATAACCGCAGGATGGAGGCCACTCCACGCCGCCGCTGCTTGATTTCACCACAGAGCGACTGCAACACAGAGGGGGCCGAACCATGAGTGTTCACAGGGCAGAGTCTTCTAAGACATGAAACCCACTCTTCCACCATCATTGTAGTGATATGCTCAGCTATGAACAAGTGAACAAGAAGGACTCTGGAGTAGCTTTTAGATGGAGGTCTCTTATAGACAGCCAACTAATGCCAAGCAATTTAGCTGCATCCCAATTCTCTTCCCTTTTTCACTGATTTCTTCATCTAAAATGTTGGGTCCCACCTTAACAGCTAGGTGATTTATAATTTAATAAAATAAATCATTGGGTTAGATGAATGCCAAATAGATTAAATGCTTTGATTCAAAGTCCCAGGAAACACAAAAGACAGAAGTTCTCCAAATAGAAAATTTTTTCCAAATTTACTCTCAGATATTTTTGGGGCCAAAAGTTTAGTTTCCTGCTGGCTGGGTATAAGTTAAATAAGATTGTAAAGAATTTTTATATATAACATCTATTATTTGACAAAAGAAGGTAAGCAACATTGCTCTTCAGAAGCTTGACTAACAAAGCAGTAATGTTCTGAAAACAGAAATTAGAATACTGGATTATTACTGCACTATTTGTTGGCTCTGTTTCCTTTTAATAAATATTCACACTATTTAAGAAGGATATGCATGCATCAAAATAGCATTTTGCCCCCAGAAGCATTTGTATTGCTGTAGTGACCCTAAGCTGAACGATTCAAGCAAAATAGTGCATACATATGTCTAAAAATATTATATCTTTTTGTTGCCTACGGATAGTATATAAGTGATATTCTAATTCAAAGCCTTTAGGAGAAATGATGATTATATCAAACATCGCTGCATTACTAATCTCCTGCTACTGCCACAATCGGACTGTTCTAATAGTTAACAGATTGCTTATTAATCAACAAGGGTAAACAAGACAATGCAATTTCATTTAGTGTGAGACTTTTAATGCCTGAAAGTATTTGTGCTTAAAATGTTAATCTAGATAAGGCTTCATTAGAAGTCCTAAAATGATTCAGTGTGGTTCATTGAAATGTGCATAGAGTGGTAGTAGATCAGCAGGTGGACATTTCATACAGATGTTCCACTTATTGGTATAGTACATGCTATAGCCATTTAAATGACCCTAACTCAGTAATAGCTGGAATTCTATTATTTCTATAATGAGAGAACCCTGTACCCTTAATATTTCTGAATTTTAAATGAGGTGAGTGACAATTTCTCAAACCTCTATTTATGGCAAAATATGACTAGGAATTTTATTATTCAATTTATACCAATGTGGCATTTTTAGTTATGTTTCCTGAACTTACCCTTATTTCTTTTCCTAGGGTTCATTACTATTTTCCTATATAACTCCTGATAGTAACCACAGGGTCTGACAAAATTCTTTACTGATGCTATTCATTAGCTCAATGCTGAATGAGGAGAAACCCCCAGACATTCAACATAAACCTGAGGTCTACTAAAGCAACAGGCATTGCTTCCATAGCTCCAATCCTGCTAATTGTCCCACCCCCACACATATTCTCTCTCTCTCTCTTTCTCTATCTCTCTCTCAACTGTTTTAAAAAACTGTTCATATTCAATATTTGATTTTTGGGTCTTCATAATTGTAAATTTTTTTCTTTAAATATCCGAAGAACTTAGTCTATATTCTAAATAAAAAATTTATCTTATATGCACACTTGGGGAGTCATAGTACTTTAAAAAAGAGGGGCAAATTGGGAATTTTACTCGACCAATGTATTTTCAGTACTTTTTATATCTAGGAGATATAATTGATAAAATACATTCTTCTACATAAATGGGTTACCGTGACAACCATTAAAATATACATATTTATTTATAATCACAAACACATACTAAATGAAATCAGTGCATTTTCTAGGAGTGTTTCTTAGACTCTGTAGTGTATTTTCTTTCCATGATAAACTATGCATAGAGAAATGTGAAATATAACTACATAGGAACAAATGATTATAACCCTTTTTGTCTTCCATTTTCAGGGAAATGTACTTTTAAACAGAAACCCAAACTAAGCAATCTAGTTAAGGCACAGAAATAAGACAAATGTACTAGTATCCCTGTCTCCCAGACCTCCTCAAATGTATATTGCACCTTCCATCAGCTAGGCACTGTTTCAGGCACACAGGCTTCAAAAAGAAGCAGGTTACTGCTCCTTCTCTCCAGGAGCTGAGAGTCTACTGGAGGTGGACTATACAAATAAGAACAATAGCTGGAAGCTTTTTTATGACTGCTTCAATTTCTTCCATAGTTATCGGCCTATTGAGATTTTTAGAATCTTCCTGATTGAGTTTGGAAGGTTGTATTTTTCTAGAAATATGTCCATTTCCTCCAGGTTGTCTAGTTTGTTGGAATAGAGTTGTTCATAGTATTTTTTTTAACAATCCTTTGTATTTCTGTGGAGTCTGGTGTTATTTCACCTCTTTCATTTCTGATTTTGTTTATTTGGGTCCTCTCTCTTTGCTTCTTGGTGAGCCTGGCTAGAGGTTCATCAATCTTGTTTATCCTTTCAAAGAACCAGCTCTTGGTTTCATTGATATTTTTTATTGTTTTTTTGTTTTTTTTGTTTTTTTTTGTCTCTATGTCATTCACTTCTGCTCTGATCTTTATTATCTCCTTCCTTCTGCTCACTCTGGGCTTTTCTTGTTGCTCTCTTTCTAATTCTTTGAGTTGTAGAGTTAGATGATTTATTGCTTTATTGCCTTGTTTTTTTGGGGTAGGCCTGTAGTGCTATAAACTTCCCTCTCAGGACTGCTTTCATTGTGTCCCATAGGTTTTGGGTTGTTGTACTGTTATTGTCATTAGTTTCCAGGGTGTTTTTAATTTCTACTTTGATCTCACTGGTAACCCAATCATTATTTAGTAACATGCTATTCAGCTTCCAAGTGTTTGAGTATTTTGGGTTGTTTTTATTGTAGTTTATTTCTAATTCATTGTTTAATAGCATGCTATTCAGCTTCCAAGTGTTCGAATTTTTTGGATTGTTTTTATTGTAGTTTATTTCTAATATTTTGCCATTGTTGTCTGAGAAAATGCTTGATATGATTTAAATCTTTTTGAATTTGGGGAGACTTTGCTTGTGACCCATTATGTGGTCTATTTTTGAAAATGTCCCATGTGCACTTGATAAGAACATATATTCCATGGCTTTGGGGTGAAATGCTCTGAAGATGTCAATTAAATCCATCTGATCTAGTTAGTCATTTAGGATTGCTGTTTCTTTGCTGATTTTTTGTCTAGTGGATTTATCTAGTCATGTCAATGGTATATTAAAGTCCCCTACTATGATTGTATTGTTGTCAATCTCTCCCTTGATATCTTCCAGGAGTTTTTTAAGTA